CCCCCGTTCTTTCTGGTGATAGTGATCCCTCCTACGCTGATTCTCGCCCTGATCGCCGCTCCTCTCAGGGTTATGGTTTTACTCTTGGCAGTGGCCTCATCAGTTGGCGCTCCACTCGTTTATCCTCTGTCTGTCTTTCCACCTGCGAGGCTGAGTTGTACGCAGGCACATTAGCGGCTCAGGAGGCTCGCTGGCTCTCGTTTCTCCTTGCTGAGCTTGGTCACTCTCAGCCCTCTGTGACGCTCTCCTGTGACAGTGCGAGCATGATTCACCTCACTGAAAATCCTGTATATCACGCTCGCAGCAAACACATCAAGGTCCGCTACTTCTTCGTGCGCGAGCTGGTGGAGTCTGGCTTCCTCTGCCTTCGCAAGGTGGCCGCTACTGCCAACCTTGCTGACATTTTCACCAAGGCTCTCCTTTGTGCGCCACACCGTTTCTACGTGCGCGCACTTGGGCTCACTCGTCTCGCCACTTCTGGGCGTGTTCCTATTTGCTATGTGTTTTGTTCCAGAGCTTCACCTAGCCTGGGGGGTGTTGGAGTAGGCTAGAGCTCGCTCTGGCATTTATCATGGTGTTCTTCTGTTATTTCGCCATGTTTAGAGCGAGTTACAGTTTCGGTTCAGTTTATGTTCATTTCTTAGTTTCTAGCACAAACTGAACACACCCTAAGTTCAATTAGGGTTTCCTACATTTGTATCTCGACACTCTTGTTAGTCTATCTCTTCAACCTATCTTGCTAGCCATGGCTACCACTCTCACATCACAAAAACCCTATGCCAAGTTTGGAATGGTACACGGGAGCGGCGCGTGACGAGGCGACGCGTGTCAGGTGGGTGGGGGGTGACGTGGCATGGGGTGGGAGGGTGTGACGTGGCACGTGGGGCTGGTTGTTGGTGGACGTGTCGGATGGCGCAGGGTGTGACGTGGCAAGTTCACACAGTGTTGCTAGTCACCATCCCCTGGTCACGCGGCCACCCTCATAACTGCTGGTTTCTCTCTCCCATGTCGTGTTGTATACCTTACACCCCTGCGCAGAACAAAGCCTACTTAGTGTTCTTGGTGTTCTTGGCATTTATCATGGTGTTCTTCTGTTATTTCGCCATGTTTAGAGCGAGTTACAGTTTCGGTTCAGTTTATGTTCATTTCTTAGTTTCTAGCACAAACTGAACACACCCTAAGCTCAATTAGGGTTTCCTACATTTGTATCTCGACACTCTTGTTAGTCTATCTCTTCAACCTATCTTGCTAGCCATGGCTACCACGCTCACATCACAAAAACCCTATTCCAAGTTTGGACGAATTTTGATTTCGATTATCTTCGCGTAAAAAAATCCGGAGCCAATTTGGACCGACGGTTGGAGTCATTTGATAGGAGCTCCGAGACACATCTCGCGACAAGGTTTGGCTTGGTTCAAGTTCCAATTCAGCACGCGAGCTTTTCCGGATGACATTCGGGCGCAATCCGTTTTGGAGCAAATTCGTGACCAAATTATTCAAAACTAAATTCTGTTTTTGTTCATTTTGGATATTGAGGATTTCAAAATTGCATTTATTATTGCTGTTTACAACAACCATTATTCAGCATTCTAGCAACAAGCAGTCTTAGCACCAGGTCAAATAGCCTACGCACTGGCGGGCCTTGAAAGCGCCCGGTGGGCAAGGAAGACATCTCCAAGGTCGCCATCGTCGATGAGGAACTTGTTCGGAAAGACGAACGCACCCATAGCCGGATCGTGGAGGATCCTCCGCTCCACGACAGCAAAGTGGATCATCTGTTTGACCTTTTCACACCACTCCTGGTAGTCTGGCCTTTTCTGCTCCGGCTGGCTACTGATTCGCTTGCGACGCTTATCCTGTAGAAGGGGCCATTCGATCTGCAATGTGGTGTAGGGTTGGGTGGATGGTTTATGAGGAGGGTAGGTTACGGGTAAATGAGCCAACTGAAAGCGGTGATTCAGTCGTCACTATCTACGTAACTGCAAAGGCTTAATCGACCAGGGATTTAGCTGAAGTACAGGCAAGGGGTTAAGGGGATGAGGCATGGGGGTACAAACACATATCTACATCCTTACCGAAAACAGGCCCCATGCCACCATGCGGCTCTTGAACTTGGTGAACACCGCCCCGCCCCTCTTGAAGGAGAGCTTGAACGCATAAGCGAACAAGGGGTTGCTGAAGGGCGTCCCGGTGGCCTTGTCAAAGTCCCAGTTGAGGGCCCACTGTTTTGCTTTTTGGCCGGGAGGGTATGGGTTGGAAAGGGTTTTGTAGAGAAATCAAGTGGGGGGATGAGAGTCAGGGTGAGCCACATCGCACGGTGATATGTAGCTGCGAACTGGCAAATGGTAGGGCATATGGTGTTTTCGAGTTGCACTGCACATACCATCTCTGTACTCGGCTAGGAGATTATCGTCGTCGAACCAGGTCGTTGGGTGTAGCTCAATGGGCAGGCTATCCACGAGATGGCTGTAATCGGCAAGGCCCATGCCGGTGTATGCTGCTGGCCTGAGGGTGGAGTTGATAGTTGACCTTGTTGAGGACAGCTGGTGGTTGAAGACTCCCATGGTTGACTTGTCATTGTGCAACCACAGCAGCTTCATTGCCTCGAGCCCTTCTGCAGACAAGTGGACAGAGAACGCGTCGAACACTTCCTCCGGTGCAGGGTAGTACTGTATTTTCTCCGGCGGGTTCAGAAACATGAGCTGAGAGCACACTAAGTAGGCTTTGTTCTGCGCAGGGGTGTAAGGTATACAACACGACATGGGAGAGAGAAACCAGCAGTTATGAGGGTGGCCGCGTGACCAGGGGATGGTGACTAGCAACACTGTGTGAACTTGCCACGTCACACCCTGCGCCATCCGACACGTCCACCAACAACCAGCCCCACGTGCCACGTCACACCCTCCCACCCCATGCCACGTCACCCCCCACCCACCTGACACGCGTCGCCTCGTCACGCGCCGCTCCCGTGTACCATTCCAAACCGCCACGGCACACACTCACCTCACATCCCGCCACGTCACACCCTCCTGCATTCGCCACGTCCACCAACAACCAGCCCCACGTGCCACGTCACACCGACCCACCCCATGCCACGTCACCCCCCACCCACCTGACACGCGTCACCTTGTCACGCGCCGCTCCCGTGTACCATTCCAAATCGCCACGTCAGCCCCAACCCTCACATTCCGCCACGTCACACCCTCCTCCATCCACGACGTCCACTGACAACCAGCCCCACGTGCCACGTCACCCCCCACCCACCTGACACGCGTCGCCTCGTCACGCGCCGCTCCCGTGTACCATTCGAAACCGCCACGTCAGCCCCAACCCTCACATTCCGCCACGTCATACCCTTTTGCATCCGCCAACAACCCGCCCTACTTGCCACGTCACACCCCCCACCAAGAGCCACGTCACCCCCCACCCACCTGACACGCCTCGCTTCGTCATGCGCCGCTCACGTGTACCCTTTCAAAACGCCACGTCATCCCCAACCCTCACCTTCCGCCACGTCACACCCTCCTGCATCCGCCACGTCATCCCCAACCCTCACCTTCCGCCACGTCACACCCCCCTGCATCCGCCACGTCCACCAACCAGCCCCACGTGCCACGTCACACCCTCCTGCATCCGCCACGTCCACCAACAACCAGCCCCACGTGCCATGTCACACCCTCCCACCCCATGCCACGTCACCCCCCACCCACCTGACACGCGTCGCCTCGTCACGCGCCGCTCCCGTGTACCATTCCAAACCGCCACGTCACACACTCACCTCTCATCCCACCACGTCACACCCTCCTGCATCCGCCACGTCCACCAACAACCAGCCCCACGTGCCACGTCACACCGACCCACCCCATGCCACGTCACCCCCCACCCACCTGACACGCGTCGCCTTGTCACGCGCCGCTCCCGTGTACCATTACAAACCGCCACGTCAGCCCCAACTCTCACATCCCGCCACGTCACACCCTTTTGCATCCGCCAACAACCCGCCCTACTTGCCACGTCACACCCCCCACCAAGAGCCACGTCACCCCCCACCCACCTGAAACGCCTCGCCCCGTCATGCGCCACTCCCTTGCACCCTTTCACACCGCCACGTCATATCTCAACCCTCACCTTTTGCCAGGTCACACCCACTTGCATCCGCCGCGTCCACCAACAACCCGCGCCACTTGCCACGTCACACCCACCCACCCCATGCCACGTCACCCCCCACCCACCTGATACACGTCGCCTCGTCACGCGCCGCTCCCGTGTTCCCTTCGAAACCGCAACGTCAGCCCCAACCCCGCCCTGGTTGCCACGTCAACCCCAACCCGCCCCATTTGGCCCGCCACATACCGGGAATGGGTTTGTCTCCTGCAGCACTAGCACTCGTGCCTTGTCCACGGCACTCATCGGCGGCGGGGTACCAGCCATAGGCAGGGCTGCCGACCCACCGGCATAGCTGGCAGGTACTCCACGACGCAGGCCGAGCTGTGCAAACATGGCGTACATCTCAGACCGCAGCGCCTGGAACTGCTCCCGTGTAACAAACTGATCGTGCTCCGCACTTTCACCTAGGGCACCCATGAGCGGAGGAAAAGGGTGTGAAGAATCCCCCCTCTGGCCAAGGGGATCAACGTCTTCTGCAGCAGTCCCGTGTGCCCTCACACTATCACGCTGGCGGGAAAAGGGGAGCTCAGGGAAGGGATTGGCATAAGTGCCAGCCTGATGCCCGCGCGAAGGACCGGCGAGGGGGGAGACCGCCCTGCCCCGGACAGGAGAAGCGTGGAGTTGCCGAAATGGGTACGAGGGTGAGGCGAGTGGGGAGTGCGTGACGGGGGCTGGTGGAGGGGATTCGGATTCCTCTCCTCTTGGCGCGCCGGGTGCCGTCGTAGCGACTTTGCTCGGGCCGGAGTATGGCGTGTAGAACCTTGGTGCTCCTGTGGATAGCGGTGTAACACTCGCTCTTCCGGCAGCCTTCGTTAGCTGCATCCGTTGCACGCTTACCGGTGGCCCAATGCCTGTAACGCGAGGGGCTGAGATGTAGAGGGAGTAGGATAAAGAAATTAGAGTCGATTGGTTTCAATACAGGGCCGGACATGCATGCATAAGATCAAAGGTTTGAATCTAAATCGGGTTTAGGGTTGTACTGTTTTGAGACAAGAGGCTTTACCTTGCTTGGCAGATTCGTCGACCTTCTCCTTCCCTGCAGGGGAGAAACAATGTGAAAAAATGGTGTTATTTGGCACGGTTGAGCAGATGGTTCAACAACCACGCCAGTTGTATTGGCCACAATGCTCACCTTTCTGCTGTCCCTTCAGTTTTTCTGCAGCCTGCGCCTTCTCGTTGCCACCTTTCCGCGGGGTGCTTTGGCGGACGCTGCGACGTTTACCGGCAGGTTCTTTCTTGCCGGTACCCACTGGAACCCCTTTGGCGCGGCCACCCTTTCCTCCTCCATCCCCTTTTGCTCCCTGGCTCCCTTGCTTTTTACCACCCCCTTCACTTTCGACCTTCACCTTACGCGCCTTCGGTTTGCCCGCTGATTCGCCGCGCGCGGCGTCAACTGCCCCGCGTTTTCGGGAATGGCGAGTCCGGCCCCCCACCTTTCCTGTACCACTCACCCGTCTGCCACGCCCGCCCCGTCCCTTCACTGGCGCCACATCCTCCTCCTCCTCCTCCTCCTCCTCCTCCTCCTCCTCCTCCTCCTCCTCTGCCCCCTCCTCCTCCTCCTCCTCCTCCTCCTCCTCCTCCTCCTCCTCCTCCTCCTCCTCCTCCTCTGCCTCCTCCTCCTCCTCCTCCTCCTCCTCCTCATCCTCCTCCTCCTCCTCCTCCTCCTCCTCCTCCTGTTCGTCCTCCCCGCCATCATTCTCATCTTTTTCATCCTCCCCAACATCCGCGTCATCCTCCTCCGCATCCTCTTCATCCTCCTCTTCCTCCGCATCCTCCTCCTCATCCTCATCCTCCTCATCCTCCTCCTCCTCCGCGCCTCCGGCGTCGCCAGCACTGCCTGTCGTCTGCCGCCTCTTCGCCCGCGTGGTGAGGTCCCCGGGCACGGCGGTGTCATACTCGTCCTCCCCATCGCTCTTCCTCTACCTACACCTCCCCCGTCCACCAGAACGAGGAGAGCCACCGACGTCGGCGATGCTGTGGTTAGGATCCTCCATCGACTCGTGCTCCCCCACCTTGTCCTTATCCAGCATGGCTGCAGAAACTTCGACCACGGTCGGCTGGAGCAGCGTCAGATGGTGTTGCGATGCCGCCGCCTCGAACTCCTTGGTTGCGGCATGCTCGGCGCGGGGATCGCCTCCGTGGCTTCCCCCTGTCGCCGATCCCTCTCTCTCCGCCGACGGGACTGCAAGACTCGCGCTCCCTCGCCCCGGATCTTCGTTGCCGCCAGTGGTGCCGTCGTTACTCAGACCGGGCTCGGTTCCAGCAGAGGCAACATCCGCATCTTTGTTCACTGTAGAAACACGCTTGCGTGGCATTGGTTGCTTCCCCTTGTCTTCCGCTTTCTTGCCGGAATTCTCTTGACCGCGCTCGACCTTATTTGCCGCCACTTTTTTCAGCCCAATGCCACACGCGGCGGACGCATTAGTTTTTTTTGGGCCGCCACCACTCTCCCTATCGATCTGTTTAGACGTCCTCCTTGTCGCGCGGCGCCCGGCCTGTTCCTCCTCCATTGCTTGGTTACGTGTTGCACGTGTCATGGTAGTTGTAGGAAAGCAAATTTCTGTCGCGCGGAAGGGTTGAGCCGGTTTCGAAGGGGTACTGCAACTGAATCCCACGATGGGATTATCGACGGTCTATCACTGTTATCTTTATCCAAAAACCGCCGCTTCAACTAAAACTGAATTAGTAGCCACTAAGCACAGAGCTACGGCCGATATGGAAAGGCGTGTGTCAAACAGCGAGCAGCGTCAAAGTGTTGGCCCAGAGAGTGACGGAAGCAGGTGGGTGGGGCACGAGGGTGGTTGGGGTGGGTTGCGAGACTAGAGAGATTACTGTAACCCTATCAGGCTATATCGGACGGTGTACGTGTAGCCACCCTAGCATAAACCCACCTACCGCTCGATCTCAGCCTCTCAATGGCTGAAGTACCTCTTGGCTGGTGCTTGTGTTGCGGGGGGAATCGTTTGAGATGCGTCGGCCAATCACGGTTGCCAACGCATCAATCACTATAAAGGGTACAACGGTTGTGGAACCAAAAGTGCGAAATTAAACAAATCCCTGCAAAGTACAGTGTTGTTGCGAACGCACAGTGTTGCACATAGCAGCTAAATAAAATTCAAACATACAACAATAGAATTCATCAAACACTTAGTTGCAAATGGTTTAGTATGGGGTTGGGGTAAGGTAGTCGGTGATTCACACGTCACACACACAACGACCGTCCAGAAGTATTACTTGTGACAGATGCACTGCGCACTTTTAGGCTTTGCCACAACGGTTTATCGCCAGCGGACGACATTCTAACACGATGATCAATAAGAACAAACGAGAATCAGTTGTGGTATGGTGTTGGATTGTCATCCATTCTTGCACGGACATTAAACAAGGTGCTTAGAAGAAGTGGTATGAAGCACAGGCCCAACGCACAAGCGTTGATGCGTTATCGACAGCCATGTTTAGACAGTGCGACGATGCAGCGTTCAGGCCTGTGCGTTGCGCGACATGGTCCAACGCACAAGCGATGATGCGTTATCGACAACCGTGTTTAGACAGTGCGACGATGCAGCGTTCAGGCCTGTGCGTTGCGCGGCATGGTGAATCCGTTGTGGTATGGTGTTGGATTGTCATCCATTCTTGCACGGACATTCAACAAGGTGCTTAGAAGGAGTGGTATGAAGCACAGGCCCAACGCACAAGCGTTGATGCGTTATCGACAGCCGTGTTTAGACGGTGCGACGATGCAGCGTTCAGGCCTGTGCGTTGCGCGACATGGTGAATCCGTTGTGGTATGGTGTTGGATTGTCATCCATTCTTGCACGGACATTCGACAAGGTGCTGAGAAGGAGTGGTATGAAGCACAGGCCCAACGCAGAAGCGTTGATGCGTTATCGACAGCCGTGTTTAGACGGTGCGACGATGCAGCGTTCAGGCCTGTGCGTTGCGCGACATGGTGAATCCGTTGTGGTATGGTGTTGGATTGTCATCCATTCTTGCACGGACATTCGACAAGGTGCTGAGAAGGAGTGGTATGAAGCACAGGCCCAACGCAGAAGCGTTGATGCGTTATCGACAGCCGTGTTTAGACGGTGCGACGATGCAGCGTTCAGGCCTGTGCGTTGCGCGACATGGTGAATCCGTTGTGGTATGGTGTTGGATTGTCATCCATTCTTGCACGGACATTCGACAAGGTGCTGAGAAGGAGTGGTATGAAGCACAGGCCCAACGCAGAAGCGTTGATGCGTTATCGACAGCCGTGTTTAGACGGTGCGACGATGCAGCGTTCAGGCCTGTGCGTTGCGCGACATGGTGAATCCGTTGTGGTATGGTGTTGGATTGTCATCCATTCTTGCACGGACATTCGACAAGGTGCTGAGAAGGAGTGGTATGAAGCACAGGCCCAACGCAGAAGCGTTGATGCGTTATCGACAGCCGTGTTTAGACGGTGCGACGATGCAGCGTTCAGGCCTGTGCGTTGCGCGACATGGTGAATCCGTTGTGGTATGGTGTTGGATTGTCATCCATTCTTGCACGGACATTCGACAAGGTGCTGAGAAGGAGTGGTATGAAGCACAGGCCCAACGGACAAGCGTTGATGCGTTATCGACAGCCGTGTTTAGACGGTGCGACGATGCAGCGTTCAGGCCTGTGCGTTGCGCGACATGGTGAATCCGTTGTGGTATGGTGTTGGATTGTCATCCATTCTTGCACGGACATTCGACAAGGTGCTGAGAAGGAGTGGTATGAAGCACAGGCCCAACGGACAAGCGTTGATGCGTTATCGACAGCCGTGTTTAGACGGTGCGACGATGCAGCGTTCAGGCCTGTGCGTTGCGCGACATGGTGAATCCGTTGTGGTATGGTGTTGGATTGTCATCCATTCTTGCACGGACATTCGACAAGGTGCTGAGAAGGAGTGGTATGAAGCACAGGCCCAACGCACAAGCGTTGATGCGTTATCGACAGCCGTGTTTAGACGGTGCGACGATGCAGCGTTCAGGCCTGTGCGTTGCGCGACATGGTGAATCCGTTGTGGTATGGTGTTGGATTGTCATCCATTCTTGCACGGACATTCGACAAGGTGCTTAGAAGGAGTGGTATGAAGCACAGGCCCAACGCACAAGCGTTGATGCGTTATCGACAGCCGTGTTTAGACGGTGCGACGATGCAGCGTTCAGGCCTGTGCGTTGCGCGACATGGTGAATCCGTTGTGGTATGGTGTTGGATTGTCATCCATTCTTGCACGGACATTCGACAAGGTGCTTAGAAGGAGTGGTATGAAGCACAGGCCCAACGCACAAGCGTTGATGCGTTATCGACAGCCGTGTTTAGACGGTGCGACGATGCAGCGTTCAGGCCTGTGCGTTGCGCGACATGGTGAATCCGTTGTGGTATGGTGTTGGATTGTCATCCATTCTTGCACGGACATTCGACAAGGTGCTTAGAAGGAGTGGTATGAAGCACAGGCCCAACGCACAAGCGTTGATGCGTTATCGACAGCCGTGTTTAGACGGTGCGACGATGCAGCGTTCAGGCCTGTGCGTTGCGCGACATGGTGAATCCGTTGTGGTATGGTGTTGGATTGTCATCCATTCTTGCACGGACATTCGACAAGGTGCTTAGAAGGAGTGGTATGAAGCACAGGCCCAACGCACAAGCGTTGATGCGTTATCGACAGCCGTGTTTAGACGGTGCGACGATGCAGCGTTCAGGCCTGTGCGTTGCGCGACATGGTGAATCCGTTGTGGTATGGTGTTGGATTGTCATCCATTCTTGCACGGACATTCGACAAGGTGCTTAGAAGGAGTGGTATGAAGCACAGGCCCAACGCACAAGCGTTGATGCGTTATCGACAGCCGTGTTTAGACGGTGCGACGATGCAGCGTTCAGGCCTGTGCGTTGCGCGACATGGTGAATCCGTTGTGGTATGGTGTTGGATTGTCATCCATTCTTGCACGGACATTCGACAAGGTGCTTAGAAGGAGTGGTATGAAGCACAGGCCAAACGCACAAGCGTTGATGCGTTATCGACAGCCGTGTTTAGACGGTGCGACGATGCAGCGTTCAGGCCTGTGCGTTGCGCGACATGGTGAATCCGTTGTGGTATGGTGTTGGATTGTCATCCATTCTTGCACGGACATTCAACAAGGTGCTTAGAAGGAGTGGTATGAAGCACAGGCCCAACGCACAAGCGTTGATGCGTTATCGACAGCCGTGTTTAGACGGTGCGACGATGCAGCGTTCAGGCCTGTGCGTTGCGCGACATGGTGAATCCGTTGTGGTATGGTGTTGGATTGTCATCCATTCTTGCACGGACATTCAACAAGGTGCTTAGAAGGAGTGGTATGAAGCACAGGCCCAACGCACAAGCGTTGATGCGTTATCGACAGCCGTGTTTAGACGGTGCGACGATGCAGCGTTCAGGCCTGTGCGTTGCGCGACATGGTGAATCCGTTGTGGTATGGTGTTGGATTGTCATCCATTCTTGCACGGACATTCAACAAGGTGCTTAGAAGGAGTGGTATGAAGCACAGGCCCAACGCACAAGCGTTGATGCGTTATCGACAGCCGTGTTTAGACGGTGCGACGATGCAGCGTTCAGGCCTGTGCGTTGCGCGACATGGTGAATCCGTTGTGGTATGGTGTTGGATTGTCATCCATTCTTGCACGGACATTCAACAAGGTGCTTAGAAGGAGTGGTATGAAGCACAGGCCCAACGCACAAGCGTTGATGCGTTATCGACAGCCGTGTTTAGACGGTGCGACGATGCAGCGTTCAGGCCTGTGCGTTGCGCGACATGGTGAATCCGTTGTGGTATGGTGTTGGATTGTCATCCATTCTTGCACGGACATTCAACAAGGTGCTTAGAAGGAGTGGTATGAAGCACAGGCCCAACGCACAAGCGTTGATGCGTTATCGACAGCCGTGTTTAGACGGTGCGACGATGCAGCGTTCAGGCCTGTGCGTTGCGCGACATGGTGAATCCGTTGTGGTATGGTGTTGGATTGTCATCCATTCTTGCACGGACATTCAACAAGGTGCTTAGAAGGAGTGGTATGAATCACAGGCCCAACGCACAAGCGTTGATGCGTTATCGACAGCCATGTTTAGACAGTGCGACGATGCAGCGTTCAGGCCTGTGCGTTGCGCGTCATGGTGAATCCGTTGTGGTATGGTGTTGGATTGTCATCCATTCTTGCACGGACATTCAAACCGTTGTGTTATTGTACAACATTGTCATCCACTCTTGCATATTCATTGAGCACGGTGCGTAGAGGTACACTAAACCTCGTGAGAACACACGCTATACATATTCGG